TGCTCTCCCTCTCTCCCTCTGCTCCCTCCTCGTCCTCTGCCTCTGCGCCCGTTACACGTTGAATGAGTTTTTCTGGATCGACCGAAAAGAGCTGCTAAAGAATGCTCCACGTGTTGTTAATGCTTATGAACGACAGATTGCTGATGGGCAGACTGCTAAGTTTTCTGCAAAACACACTCCTCACGGTCTTACTAAATCTCTCTTTCTGATCTACGCCCACAATGCATTTTGTGCCGACTCTGAACGAGTTACTCGCTCGAAGGGACCTCTCTCTTGAGAGGGGGGTAGTGTAATGACCCTCCAAAAACACAGACTGAGAACACTGCTGATTTTTGAGATTTGGGCTGAGTGTGTGTGTGACCCGCAAGGGTACTTGTTGGTTGAAAGGCCCCGCAGGGCCGGTACTTACCTGTGGCCGTGACTTAGGGTTGCAGCGGGAAAAACACTCAAGTAGCAGGTAGGCCGGTACCACTCAAGTAGTGGTAGAAGTGTCGGGTACTGGAGGCCGAGCAGAAGAAGAAAAAAAGTTGGCAATTTTTAGAGGCCCAGTAGCGGTAGGTTAGAGGTAGGCCGGTACCAGTCCAAGTAGCCCGGGTCTAGGGCCTGTCCGGATGATAGCAGAGCCTGCAATGATGTTTCCCTCCGAAAGGGAGGAGGTACCGGTTGCTGGGAGGCCACTCGGCCTAGGAAGTCACCGCCCAAGAGGCCAGTAGGCCGCTATATCTTCCGGATGAGCAAGTAAGCTCCTCCTCATTTGTGGTATGCAAGGATTGGCAACATGCTGCTGAGCCAAGCACTGGACTGGTACAGAGCTGCCTGGAGGTGAAGGGCAGCTGGGCCCTCAGTCTGGCTATGGCGAGCAGCCCAGCCTGAGGAGGAGGAAGAAGGGGGCGAAGGAGGAGAGTGGCGAGGTACCTACCTGGCTATGGTGGACACCATCTTCATCACCTTGTTGGGCGCTGCATCTGGAAGGCCCCAGTTGGGGTAGTGCCGCACCAAGGAAGCTCGAGGCAGAGTCAGGCATGGCGGCTTAGTCAGCAGCGGCATAGCTGCTTTGGGTTGTCCTTTGGACAGGAGTGCGGAGCCATAGCTGCTTTGTGTTGTCCTTTGCACAGAGAGGGGCACGGCCCTCAGTTGTCCACCATAGCCTAGGCTTGTGAGAAGTGGAAGAAGGAGGGAAGCCATAGCTATGGTGGACCTGTTGTGGTTATTGTTGTGTCAGCAGTAAGAGGGAACTTCGGATAGTGATTCTGGTTCATCCACTCATTGTTATTATTATTATTGGGAAGAAGAATAAGGTTGGAGAAGTTAAGGAGGAGGAGGAAGGTGGAGAGAGAAGGGGGATTTGTCATTGGTCTTGCTGGTGTACATCTACTTCTTCTTCTTCTTCTTCTTTTTCTTCTTCTTCTTCTCTTCTTCTTTCTCTCTTCTCTGGTCTCTATCTCTTTGCAAGTGCTTTCATTTCTTTCGCAATTGGGTGGCATTGTCTTTCACTGTGAATTTGCACTTTGGGAATGATCAGGATTGTAACATTAGAATAGAAACTCACCACAGTGAATAGAGACTCTGTTCCATCTACCCCTTAGAAGAGCCTGGCAACCCAGCAAGCCTCCTCTGCGAGGACCCCAGGTGGAAGCCTGTCTTAAAACAGAAAGACTGAGAAGAATCAGAGTCATAGAAGGGGAAAGAAACAGAGCCTACAAACCGGATACAGCCATACACAACCTAGAAGTCAACCCAGTAGAGCGGTCATGGAGTACCCCAAACTGCCTCTCTACCATCGTAAGATGCCACGCACTAACAGGCTACACCCCCAAACTAGGTTACCAACTCAACTCTAAACCCCAATCACTACCGAAATTACTACAACAAGTGGACCCCGCCACGGCAACGCCGTGGCGCACAGCAACACTCGTCGATGGCGTTTTTATTTTTTTGTTTCATGTCTCTCTCTCTCTCTCTCTCTCTCTCTCTCTCTCTCTCTCTCTCTCTCTCTCTCTCTCTCTCTCT